GTACACACACACACACACGTACACACACACAGATATATACACACACACACATATACAAATACTCTCTATTGTAATCTAGATTACTAACTACAACTCTTCGCTTCCATTAATTCTATACAGAATATCAAACGCCTATTTCTTCCGAGTTTTTCATCACAACGAGCCTACGCTCACATTAGTGATTGCCCACAACAAAACAATGGCGTTAGCAACACAAATACACCATAACGAAGAAGGCATTGCACGCATCCGTGATTTATCGCAACACGCGGGATAGCTGAGGAGCAGTAAAACAAGGTCAGTTCACTCAAAGGACGGTGAGATGGCACTGGAAAGAGAAGGCACAACAGCTGTAAACATCCCAGCCATGGACGCACCCAAGACATCAAAGCTGATGTGGCTCAGTCGCTGTCAGCCACGCGTGAGGTTCTCGTATGAACCCAAAACCAACCACGCAACAACTGCACAAACATGCCACTGTGCGGGATTCAAGTTACAAACGCAGATGAGAAGACTGGGACCCCTGCTTTTAAGGATGCCTGACCTTAAACACACAGAATATCACTCGGGCACCATTTCCAGATTTTCTGCGTGCCATCGGCCGGATGACAAAAGCCTCCAGAATTTAACACTCCAACTCCACAGATGGGATTTGGGAGTAAGGGAGAGCGCTGGGTAAATCAAAAGGATTTGTCCTTCGGGGTTTTGGATGAGCCGACTCATCACAAATATTAAAAAGCAAAATAATTGCAGATAATAGAACAGAAAGCACAACGTGACACCTGCACTGGGAATCCCCATGTTCCAAGTCAGGACAAAAAATAAACCCCAAACAAGAAATATTTTTAGTCTCATAAAATCCTTGATGAGAAACTGAAGTTCAGTAATTGATTTTAAGAGGAGAGCTACAATAAAAGCCGTGTTTATGAATAACAAACACTCTGCCATGCTGCTAATTACTCCCTGCATCAGTGAATCTCAAATGGTGGTGCACGGACCCCAATTTAGATTCACTGAAGACTTCTGGTGATCCATGGAGAGCTGGCAGCTATCACGAGAATGGCTCCACCTCCTTGCTGCAAGCTACTTTGACAGGTGCCCACGTTCTTCATTATCATGAAGAGACTGCAGGCCCTTGAAAGCAGCTGGGAGTTAAAAAACAAACAAACCAAACAGAAAACCACGAGCACTGCTGTGCAAATGGAGAGTGCAAAAGCGCCGATCAGCCAAGACATCGGCTCTCAGTAGAAATATTCCTCCTCCACTTGGGTTTTCCATACTTGGTACTTCTGCTTGCTTCTACTTCAGAAAGGTTTGCAATGCCCGAGTTCCCCATCTCAGAAAAAGGCTATGTCCTGGCTGCGCCAAGAAAATATCATCTGCTGGCGGCCCAAGACTTGCTCTGCCTGTGCTCCAGCTCGGGTGGAAGTCTCAACGCCTGCAAGGCAACCAGCCCTTCTGTGAGGCACAGCTTGGGTGCCCTACTAATGCAGCAGCTCTGCCTCCAGACAGCTCAGAGCGTGGGCAGAAAAAGCCAGTGTCTGCCTGCAAAACCCCGTGTGTACGTATATCCTCTAGCACACAGTTCCACTTTTGATCTGCCCGTAACTAACCCATGGCTATACCACCACCTGTGCTGCACAACTCTCAGGAGTACTTCCAGGATGAAGGCTGCACACATTTGTGTTTTACTCTTTAAAAAAAGAAAAAGTAGTACAAAAATATCTCCGAAACTTAAAAGTTTGGGGACTGAGATCCCTTGCTTGGATTTGTTTCCTCTGGAACTGAAAGTTCAAATTACCATTGAGAAACATCTCATGCTCCTACGGTCACAAAAAACTGTTGGTACTTTTACTGCCTACCATGCTAAATACTGCAGGAAAAGCTTGGTCTGTCCTGTTTCTGAGAATCACAGAATCGCTCGGTTGGAAAAGCCCTCTGAGATCATCACGTCCAACCGTTCCTGTCTACCCCCTAAACCATATCCCTAAGTACCTCGTCTACCCGCTCTTTAAACACAGCCAGGGATGGTGACTCCACCACCTCCCTGGGCAGCCTGGTCCAGTTTCTGACGACCCTCTCAGTAAAGAACTTCCTCCTTATCTCTAACCTGAACCTCCCTTGGCACAGCTTGGTGCCGTTTCCCCTTGTTCTATCCCCCATCACCTGGGAGAAGAGACCAGCACCCACCTCTCCACAAGCTCCCTTGAGGCAGTTGTAGGTGGTGATGAGGTCTCCCCTCAGCCTTCTCTTCTCCAGGCTAAACAAGCCCAGTTCCCTCAGCCGCTCCTCATCAGGCTTGTTCTCCAGAGCCCTCCCCATCCTTGTGGCTCTTCTCTGAACACGCTCCAGAATCTCAACATCCTTCTTCTAGTGAGGGGCCCAGAACTGAACACAGCACTCGAGGTGCGGCCTCACCAGTGCTTACACTGTCTTCAAAGAGCAAAAGAACTGGACAACACATTTACTTCTTAACCAAAGTCTTGCTGATAGCTTTCAAGTAGGCCAACGCGCAGCAGACGAACTGCAGAACTGCCACCAATCCATCAAGTAGTGTTTTAAGTGATTTAGAAGTGGTTTTTTAGATTAGATTCCTGACACAGGAAGCAAGCACTGCTGCAGTCAAATGTAAACATTCCCAAAAGTGGAAGGAAGATACTACTCTGGCCAAAAATCATCACACATCGCTATGCTAAAGATATGTCCCAGAACATGATGAATAAAAGATTCTCAGTATGTGATGCTATGTAACAGGAGTTACTGTATGAACACATTATGGCACAGGATTTATTCTGTGTCGCTACTGCTATCACAGATGGCAGCTGAGCATAAAATTCGGTACAACAGGCAACATTAACATACCTCTGGTGCAAGATACTCCGGAGTGCCGCAGAAAGTTTTCATCGTTGCTCCATCCTTTATGCCTTCTTTACATAGTCCGAAGTCTGTTATTTTTATGTGTCCGTCTTTATCCAGCATGAGATTCTCCAACTGAGAAGAGAACCCAAACGAAAGACATGATTACACAGAACACACACTGCTCCTGAGCAAGCCAACGGGAGACAGGAATTTCTGCTGATCGGTTTTCAACGCTGTTCTCGCTGGAGTCAGAACCACAGCGGTTGCCAAAGCACAAATGATGTAAAGACACATTTATATTCCTTTCCTTGGTTCGTTAGGGAACGTCAAGTAACTGATTTGCAGTCTTTAGGTAACCAATCTTATACACAGAAAGAACACAGACTGCAGATGTTGTATTTATGCATCTACAGTGTTATCACCAGCAGGACACAAGTTCTTTTAAAGATGTGTTAAGTACTGCCCCTCACAATTTATCCCTGCTTTTACTCTACGTGATTTTATGAAATACTCTGTATAAGTAAAGGATAGCAAGATGAAAGTGAAGTCAAATGCAAGGCTGAGGAACCACTTTCCAAAGAGCCCCTTAACATGAATCACAGAATCACAGAATCCCAGACCGTCAGGGATTGGAAGGGCCCTCAAAAGCTCATCCAGTCCAATCCCCCTGCCGGAGCAGGAACACCCAGATGAGGTTACACAGGAAGGCGTCCAGGCGGGTTTTGAATGTCTGCAGAGAAGGAGACTCCACAACCTCTCTGGGCAGCCTGGGCCAGGGCTCTGTCACCCTCACTGAGAAGAAGTTTCTTCTCCAATTGAAGTGGAACCTCCTGTGTTCCAGCTTGTGTCCGTTACCCCTTGTCCTATCATTGTTTGTTTTGACATGAGAATCACTTTATACAGTTACTCAGCCTGTGCCACCAATTTTTGAGTGAGCCATCCAGATTTCAGGACAGTTTCCACCGTGCATGACATAAAGGGCACTTTCCAAGGAATCATGGTGATATGGGAGACAAAAATCAGAGCAGGAAGCCCAAAATGACTTTGACGTAGCCTGAAAACATTAAACAGCACGCTTCATTTTGGATTGTTCCTAAATGAACTATCAGTATCCACTCATCCTCTTCTGAAAACACTTCTCAGGGAGAAAAAAAAATGCTACTGCTGCATTTTCCTCAAGAATTTCTCAAGTTTGTTTGCCCTGAGATTTCTTGTTTGGTTGTTCTATGCTCACCAAATGAATAAGCTACTTGAGGCTTATCCAACTGCCTAACTGCAAGCAGGCACTATGCAGGTAGTGCTGCACAGCACACTGCAAGGAAGCACAACGTTCACACAGTGTGAATTTGAATCTGATGAGACCTGGCATGAAGAGCCCAGGATTGTGTTCCACCACGTAGAAGACCCAGCAGGATTTCTCTTAGAGTATGAGCAGGCAAGTGAAAATGCAACCCAAGTAGCTCAGTACCCTTTCCTGTTCTCTGAAATGCTGCCAGGGTCCTGACAAATGCATTATACAGCCTCTTAGACTGTAAAAGTGTTTAGACATCCTGTAAAGTCAAGTCCAACAGCTCAGTCAGGAAAGGCTTTCTTACAGCTCAGGCTCATTTTCTTTTGTGACGAACAAAAACTCCATCCCGAAAAGCCTACGGAATATTCTTTTTCAACGTACCTTCAAATCTCTGTAAACCACATTCTTCTCTGAATGCAGGTAATCCAGTGCTGAAACAATCTCAGCTCCATAAAACCGAGCCCGGTCTTCAGAAAAGACACGCTCTCTTGACAGATGGAAAAACAACTGCAAGAGCAAGAATCGGTTACCTTGACACTGCCTGGACTGCCAGCCCCTTCCCATCCTCACCCGGCTGCGTTCCCACACGTGTTAAAAAGCACTGCAAATTAAACGACGAGACAACGGTGCCTCACATCCACATACGCACACTGAGAACCAGCTCATACGTACAGAAAATTGTAAACATTCATTTTGACTGAGCTACGATTTACACATCACAACTACAGCCCAACGCACGATTTAGGAGCGTGCTACTATTCCAAGTTTTCCTCCTTGACTGTCCCACAGCAGTTCGCCGTTTCTAGTTCTGCCTCCAAAGTAACGCGTTGCTCACAATATTCATTAGAGTCTTAAAAGCTGTCTGAAGAGCAACCTTGCCTGCTTGAATTACTACACGTCAGATTACAGTAAGCTGCTGTCATGTAAAACGTGAACTTACCCCCAAAACCTCTGTTCTCTACAAATGGAGTTAAGAAAATTAAGTCTTAATTCTTAACACTAGTTAAACCTGCAAACAGCTCTGTTCAACTGGGACAACCTGCAGTAATTTGAATTGCAAATGTGGACCTTAGCTAAGTAATGTCAAGCAGAATTAGTAATAGTACAGGAAAATCCTAAAGTATTCAACATTATTGCATTTGCCTTACCTCTCCTCCATTGGCATACTCCATCACAAAACACAAGCGATCATGTGTCTGAAAGGAATACTTTAAAGCCTGGAAAGAGGTTTAAACCAAAACTTAGAAGACGGATCACACCAACAGTTACAAAAGCATTTGTAATAGGATCACAGAATCTCAGGAGTTGGAAGGGACCTCGAAAGCTCATCCAGTCCAACCCCTGCCAGAGCAGGATCACCCAGACCAGGTCACACAGGAGATGTGTGATGTGTAATAGATGTTCAAAACCAGAGACAGACACAAAATTTTCTATTTCAGGGGGGTTTTTTGCCCTTGGGTCTTTTATAAAGCTTCCACTTTCCTGTTGCAGCTGAGGACTGATCCGCTGCCAACTTATTTCATTAAATAAATTTAATAAAACATTAAAACAAAGCCTTGCAGAAGCCATTAGTAATGCCTATAACGCTGTGAAACCAAGTCCTGGCCTGTTAACACTGATACAAATGTACCAATAGTGGCTCTGAAGTTCCCTTCCCAGTCCACAAACTCCCCCAGTTTCATCTCTCAGACAAGATGCCACAACCACGTCCCAGAGGACAAGGTTTTACTGCACTTTTATAGGAAACACGTACAGATTTGCACACCCCCCGGGCCTCTGCTCCCCGTTGACAGCCGGCAGGGGATTGAGCAATGCTGTCAGTACCATTTTGGGTGCAACTCACAAAGACAGAGCGGGCGGAGGCCGTGACGGGGCGTCACAAGGTGCCTTGGTGCAGTCCTGTCACAGGTATTCCTGTGGCCACAGGAACATCAGCTTGTTTGCCACGGTCTTAACTTTTTTGGTCATAACCCAGACTCGTAGCTGACTTCTTGTTTTGGATATGTGGGTTTATGAAAGCATTAAAGAGAAAACAGTGCATATGATATCATCATCTTCATTGCTAGGGGTGGCATTTTTAAACCAGTCGTATTTTTGCAGAGGAAGGGTCGACTGGATTATAGACATGCCAACAAACATTTACTGATCATATGCAATACAGCCAGTATTTACTTCCAGAGGCCATGCTTAAAAGGTCCAGCTAAGCCCTTGTGTACTTGGACAAAGAAAACAACCAGGATCTTACACAGGTCTCTTAGAAGGGCCTAAGCTGTTGGAAACAATTCAGAGCCAACTTGTAATAAATACTAGAAACAAAATCCTGCAGTGGAACCTGGGTATCTGAACTCAACCCAGAGAGACAGCTGGCACCAGAGGTCTACACTGAGAGCACGGTTTGATTTTACAGCTAAGCCAATCCAAAGGGAAAGCAGCGGGTACAGCACAGTCCTGCTTTTCCCTGTCTCATCCCACATGCTCCCACCACCATCCTTTGGCTGGCATTACCAGTGCTCTGATTCCATAATGAGTTGTTTCTGGGAGCTTAAAAGAATAACGCAGAAAGGCAAAATTGAAAGTTTTTTGCCCCACTGAATCTTCCTGAGCTTTTCTGTCACAAGAGCAGGGTCACCCTGATCTCCGCTACAAAGAGGAGACCACGCATGTGGAGGACAAGGAAAGCAGATACTCCTTTCAGCCAGCAAGCCATTAAATGGGTAAGCCATGAAGTCACAGAATCCCAGAGCGTTAGGGATTGGAGGGGACCTCCAAAGCTCATCCAGTCCAATCCCCCTGCCGGAGCAGGAACACCCAGATGAGGTTACACAGGAAGGCGTCCAGGCGGGTTTTGAATGTCTGCAGAGAAGGAGACTCCACAACCTCTCTGAGCAGCCTGGGCCAGGGCTCTGGCACCCTCACTGAGAAGAAAAACCACACCCTGGAACACTGTCTTGAGAGGTACTGAGGACCTGCTCGGCAAGAACCAGAAGACTTCTGAAAGCATTTTAATTTGTACTTCCCAAAAATGGCAGGTTACCAAAATACACGGGCGCTCTGAAAACACAGACCTTGGACGTATTATATCAATAACAAAAAATAAGGGAAGGCTTGGTTGTCACGATATCGAGTTACCCTCAACAGAGGGAGAAACGCTTACTGTTAAGAATGGATGCCGTGAGTTCTGCAAAACACGGTTTTCTGTCAGCGTGTGCGCTACTTCATCCTGAAACACAAGCAGAAGGAAATCAGCCAAGTGGTTCCCCAGATCAGGGCTCCATTTCAAACATTAAGGGAGCAATTATTTACAGGTACTCAGAGAATCCTTGGTACGACTTTCCCGAAGGCTTTATCACGGGTGAATCACACTCCCAAGTTTCAAATCCACTCACCTTAGCTACAATAACTTCCTTCTTCAGAATCTTCATAGCATAATACCGTCCAGTTGCTTTTTCTTTAACTAAAATGACCTTTCCAAAAGTGCCTTTTCCCAGTAGTTTAAGGTATTCAAACTCGTTCATGGTCTGTTAATGATACAGATAAACAAGGACTGAATTACACGAACAAAAAGAACCATATCATTCTCAGACTGGAATTTCTCATTCACGTGAGAAAACACCACATATGTTGCATATGTGGTTTTTTTAAAACCTTTTGCTGAGTGGAATTCAGAAGCAGAAATTATTCTTCCATAAAATGAACGCCAGTGCTCTCTCCAAGATAATCAATCAAACTATTTAGGGAAAACCATAAGCTTTCAATTAACAGGACCATCTTTCACAGGACTCAACGCTCGACTGTGCAAATCCCACTCAACACATTACTAACCCAGCAACATCCTGACCACTCCGTCAGGGTAGACACTCGGCAAAAGGCACACGTTGCTCTGATGCCAGGGTTTAAACCCATACCTTGTTTCTGATGTTCCCTACCTGTCAAGGGCACCAGCTTTCCTGCGCCTTATTGAACGGCACCAAAGCCCATAGACAAAACAACTGCCTCACAGATTCACCTTTTGTTCTTATTTGTTTCGCCATTAGGAAAAATGTTGGGGAAAATCAGAATCTGTTGCAGGCTGAGGATAGGCTCTGTACTGTCGTATCAATGACCACTGCCAACATGCAACAGTAAGACCTACACAGCCAAAGGCTACTGCAGCCTCCGTTGAGGAATATTTTTAAGATGCTCCCAACAGCAAACTTCCTCCATATTCTTCCCCAGAGCTGGCTGAGGAGACTTTCTGCCAATTGTTCAATGCAGTTGATGTCAGGACTGCAATAATCGTCTTGATTATCCTCAGTAACATGCCCAGAGACAGTCACTGCCTCAGAATAACGTGTGTATCTGACGAGCAAGGTGGTTCTTGCGTTCCTACCAAGCGCTGCTCAGCAAGAGCAGTGTCTGTGCAGTCAAGGACACAGATGGCCAGTGGCCGCTACGACTCAGAGTGACACGGACGTAGCCACCCACATCAGCCTAAAGCCACTGACGTGACACAAGGCTGGCACGCACACTTGGTGATGACACTGCGGGATGGCCATCTTTTTTCTTTAAAAACTTCACTGGTTTTCCCAAAATCAAAACAAACTTCTGAAAGTAAGTGAGGATGATAATGGTGAGATAAGGACACAAAGATTTGCCGTGGTACAATCCACAGACACAGCATTCACGTGGAAGAAGCTTCTACAAATTTCTTCTTACCAGAGCAGGTGTGAATGCTTTGGAAAATGGAAACCCAAACACAAAATTATGAGGGGGCAGAAAGAAGTGAAGGGAGGTTGAAGACCGATACCTAAAAGGGCTCCCCAGTGCAAAGATCTCCTCCGGCACATACTCCTTTTGTGGAAGGCCATTGCTGAGCTGGCCCTGTGCATTCAGATGATGCTGCACTTGATGCAGAAACCCCAGCTCTAGGAACACTACAGATACCACAGTGGCTGGCTGGGAGTTAGCCTAAACACTTAATCCAGAGCAAATAAACTCACTGGACTCACCCTAAGTCCTGCAAATCCACCGGAATATCTTTGTGCCAACCTGCAAAGAGTTTATACCGTCACATGGTCCAGCAGGACCCACGATCTCAGGCTCTGCAGCACAGGAAAACAGGCAAACCAAACCCAGACCTGGGCTGCCCTTGAAAGCCGCCCAGTAAGGACACCTGAACTCAGAGCTCCAGTGGACCCAGCCAGGCTTTGCTTGGGACCTGCTGAGCTGAGACCACTGCTTCCTCCAGAAGCTGCATCCACAACCAGCTGTGTAATTGTTATCAGAACAGACGTGTCTTGATGGGTATTTCTTGCCTCCATTCGAGAAGACCTAAAGCAATATTGCTATTTCTGCTACGTTCACTTACCACTTTGTGTTTTGGCTTTGTCATAGAAACTTCCATTTCCTCAGCACCTGAATTATCACTGGGAGAGCCAGATCTAAAATCCATCATCTCTTCCTCTTGTTTCTTGAGGCTGTCTGCTACAGTTTGGATGGCTTTTGTCCATTCTTCCCTGGCGAAATATAAGCAAAGACATTCGTTACTTGTGACTTTACTATGTGCCACAGCAAGTGTCACCACAGAATACAGAGCAACTGATGCTCTCTGATGAATCAATGCAACACACGTTGAATTACGTGCATTTTGAAGCACTGTAAGAATGCATGTTAAAGAGCACCTTTAACATATATCTTTGTTAATAGTACCAGAAACAAGAGATAACTGAAGTCCTCAGTCTGGATGCAACGTAAGGCTTTTCAGACAACAGAACTTCTAACAGGCATTCAGGCAGCAGCTCAAGACATGCCCTGGTGATACAGAGATCTACACAACAAAACCAGACTTGCCAAAACCAAAAAGCAAAAGGCTCCCATGTAGCACAAAGCAATTAAACGCAGCTTCTCCAATCCTATGGTGCACTGAAACACATGTACCCAACTGCTGGGGACACTGTGCCACCTCTTTGCACACGTATCTTATCTCAGTAACTCTGCAGATGACACTGAGTTGGGAGGGAGCAGGGGTAGGAAGGCTCTGCAGAGGGACCTG